ATATAATGCAATGCTTGTTGAGGTATTAGCCAAAGGAGTATTATTTTGAGGAGGAAATTTTCGCTCATTGTTTCTGTGACACGGACTTTTTCTCTTTTTCATTATTGTTATTTTTAAATTGAGTCACATTTGAGAATTGGAATTATTTTAATTTAATTATTTAAAAAAGAAATTATTCTTTATGTTAGCGGTCAATGACTCCATTACTCTATAATAGGAAAGTTTCCCAGGAGGACTGTTGAAATAACAAGAGAGAAATTTAAGAAAAGTTTTAGGATTCGATTTTACAAAACCGAGTTTCGGTGGAATTAAAATTTGAAAACTAAAGTTGACAAGGGTGCATCTACAAAAACTTTTAAAACTAGAAGGAAAACAATGGATTTCTACAGGTCTGAACTGGAAATAATTAATTTGAGAGCATTATTTACGAAAAGAGAAGTGATGTCAAAATGGGACAAGTTTTGGTATTATTTTTCATTTTATAGAAAAATTGGGTCGTTACAAATAGAGTAAGGGTAGGGTGGATAAAATGGAGAAGTCATCAGGGAAACACAATGCTTTAAGTTGGTACCAGTAAAAAAAAAGAAGACTACTAATGGTTAGATGTTAGACTATATTTGAGTTAATACTGGCGTAAGAATATTGGGCAGTCTAGAAAATATACAAGTCGAAAATACACCTTGCAGAAAAGAGCATGTTGTGGTACATGAATTAATATATTAAGGGCAGTAAGAATTATATCTTTAAATAAAGAAAATAAAATCTCAAATCCTGTGACAAAATAATACGAGCGACCGTTCCTCTCCCGAAAACAACTACACTTTTAGCTTATACCACAACAGAAAAACAGCAAATTATTTTTTACAAGCTAGCTTCGATTATGATTACTAATGAGAACGCCATTCTTGGACTGGTATTGTCCTTATTAGAACTCGTCAGCAAAGAATAGAGATATCACTTCAATCTCTAATGGAATTTATAGAGACGTGATATCCACTCGTACACCTTGATGTTGATTGAGTGAAATTAAGAATTCAGAAAATAGCGCCATCTACGCTTAGTAAGCAACATCCAAGTTCGCTTGTAGTACCTTGTTCAAAAACTAATTGGAAAATATTTAGATGTAGCTAAAAATTTTCATAATTGTAGGGTAGAGTGATTTAAAAATTAACAATTTTTATAGAACCTAAAATTAAAACAAATAATAGTACAATTTTTAGGAGAAATATGGGCACTTAAACTTTTTGGAGTAGCGAACACACACTCTGTATAGTTATCTACTCAGAAATGCAATACTTTCGGTGACATAATTTCGATATACTCGAATTTACATAAAGAGATACATTTTCTTGAACATTTATTTCGAAAAAAGAAATTACAACAGATTTATGTAATTTGTTACGAGTATTATAGTTAAAAATACATTCATGGACAAAATTATCGCAATTTTTTTAAGCTGTCTTTAAAAAATAGTGAAACAGATGAGTGTTTGTTTTACACTTCGCCTTAAAGAGCATAGTAGGTTATGTAAGCAAAATTCGTGGAAAAACTGACCGATTGAAATTGTTACGAAATTGATAATGAACAGAACTATTTGAAATCACATACTGAATGGTCAATAGTTTCATCAGGATATGAATTACAGTAGCGTGTGTTTCCTTTTTGAGTTATAATTACTGTTTTCATTCGTCTAGGCGAGCTAGTAAGAGGATTTTGATAAAAAATAAAGTTATAATTCGTATTTCTTCAGTTTCATTGCAGCGTTTATTCGAATACATATTTTAAGTATTGCAGAATAATTACAGAGTTGTCTAAAACTAGATAAATGAGATAATGGAATTTGAAGTACAATTTGAAAAGCTACATAACAGAAGAGCACTTTATGTATTCCATTGAGGACAATACAACAAGTGGAACACGAAGCAGTTTTTAGTAAATATATGTAGGAATGAGCCTGAAATCACACAATACAGTCCAAAAGAAAGACGGTTGGAAATAAATATCCACGAAAAATCTGTGAATTAATTAGAGAAAAAAGAAAAGCTTGGAGTAAATAGGTCATCAAGGAACCTTAATGATAAAACCATATCTAATATATTCGTCCAATAGTTAAAGAGGGAGGAAATAGAAACAGCTCATACCTAAGAGAACTCAAAAACTCCACAAATTAGAAAAGAAATAGGAAAGTGGGCAAAAAATAACCATAGAGCAACCATCTTTGCAGAATACCTGGACGAATTCTTCCAATCTGACGAACCAGCTATAAGGAACGATCTTAAAAGAAGATAAACACCTGAGGAAGAAGATATAGGATTGGTTATTCCCTCAGAAGTTGTGGATCAAATGAGAAATGATACAAAAGTGCCAGGATATGATCTTATCACATTAGCAGTCTTAAAAGAACTCAAGAAAAAGCATTGTCAAACTTACAAATCTGATCAATGCATTCTAAAATCATGAAAAGAGACAAATAAAGCTGCCTTACAGACCAATTCCTCTTGCTAATCATTTCAAAACTCTCCCAGAATCTATTTCTGAAGAGACTAAAACTATTATAGAAAAAAAAATTCACAAAAAACATCAATTTTAATCCGAAAAAACATTCAACAATAAACCAAGTACACAGAATCGCAGATTTAATTGAAAAAATATATGAAGACAACAAATTTCTAGACGTCGACCGTGCATTTATTAGATATGGCACGAGGAGCTGAAAAACAAATTAGAACACATTATTCCAAAACAATATGCCAAATCACTAAAACCTTATTTAACAGATTAATTTCTCAGAATAAAACAAGAACCCGATTACTCTAAATTAAAACACATTAAAAGGAGTACAACCGGGGAGATACTAGGCCTAATTTTATAGTTACTCAATACATATGATATTCCAGAAGTAAACGTAAAAACTGTCACATTTGCAGACGACATCGCTCACCTTGCAACAGGATCGAATATGGAACAAGCTTCTAATAAATTCAAGGAATTGACCAAAAAGTTGAGAATAAAACTTAATGAAGAAAAATCCGTAAATATAAACTTTACAAACAAAACCAACAATCAAAGCATACCCATCACAATAAACGGACTGGAGGTACCATATAAAAACACAACGAAATATATAGGAATTAATCTAGTTGCAAATCTGAAATGTAAGGAGCATGTGACAAAGAAAATGAAAGAACTAGACGTACGATGTTGACATATCTATTAGCAAATAGGCAAAAAATTAAAAATTACAATACATAACAAACTGCACACAAACAAGCAGATTCTGAAACCCACTTGGATATACTATGGCTTTCTGCTCTGGGGTGCGCAGATCAACCAACATAACCAAAAAAATCCAAATCAAAGTACTTCAGAACATCGTGGACTCTCCGTTTTATATTCGAAACAAAGCTGCACAGGGACCTAACATGGTGACGGTTAAAGAAGATATCAAGAGATTTTCTCAAAAGCACGAAGCGAACTTCACAATCATGTTAATACCGAGATGCTCCAGATATTCAATTAACATGACAGAAAAAGAAGGCCGAAGAGGACAAAACTTTCGGACCTAGTGTAGTAGTTACGTGAAAGTGAAAGTGTTTTAAGCAGAGCACAGTGTGAAGTGAAAGTTCACAGGAATGATCTGAGCCACACCAATGGGTGTTGGTTAGGTTAGACAAAATCGCTGGATGGTCGTTCTCGACCAGGTGTCATATTGCAATAAAAAGGTTCTACTTTTTCTTCTTGCCGACATATCGAGGTACTAGCCTCTCAATAGGGTTGCCAGATGTTCAAACACTATGCATTTTTATATAATCATTATATTTTTTATCTTTATATGAATCGTGGCATTTGCATAAAAACAGTGACACTTACATAAAAAGAGTGTACAAACAAGTCAAAAAGCGTGGAAAATACGCCGAAAGCGTGACGTCTGGCAACCCTACCTCTCAAGCATTTCTGAAGTTTAAGCGCAATCTAGGTTCGTGTAACAATTTTGGGCCTTCCATACACTGTCACAGACCACAAAGATTTTAAGCAACTTTTAGAATATAAAGTAAATATAGTCACCTAGTCCATCTTCATATATAATGTTTAGTCCTTTTACCACCATTTTATAGTTAAGTTTTTTCAATATCCTTCTTCCTATGCCACATTTTTAACTCTATAACACTGTACCACTAAAATAAACGATCAGTGTCATTGATTTATACAAACTGTTAACTATAGGGTATCCCATAATGTTTTTTTTTAGAGATCGCTAGATTGGCACCGTTAAATATAAGCGCCACGACTCTGTATTTGCCAGATCGAGGAAGGTTGCGGGTTATTTAGTAACAATACCTGATTTCATCAAGATGGTGCCACAGCCCATACCTCCAGAAGATCTTTGGCAATGCCAAGATATTTTTCAAAGTGGGGTGACATACGTTGGCCCCAACGAGTCCTGATCTGACTCCCCTGGATTTTATGTAGCGCTGTCTTTAGACAGCCGTCCAAGGTGTATGAAACACCACCACGCACTCTGGAGGCTTTCAAATTGCGAATTCAGGATAAAACGCTATTCCAGAGGAAATATTACGAGCTGTTTATTACAAATTAAGGTCCAGGCTTCAAGAATGCGTGACACGGGATGGAAGACATCTGGAGAACACTATTTTTAAGAAATTAAAATCCGCGTTTATTATTAACATTTTCACAATAAATTTAATATATTTTAGGCAAAAGCATTTGTTTTATTTCAGTTGAAAAACAACAAAACATTATTGGACACCCATTATTTATATTTAATTGTAAGTTGCAATAAATTTCTTTATTTTTTTCCTTTATTAATTGTAAGATTTTTGTATTATAGGCCTGAAGATGGCCCTGTGAGGCCGAAACTTATCACACCTGTATTTTTTTTCAATACAATTTGATGTGGTACTGATTTTGAGGTTTTAATCGTTAATTTAGTAAACTGAACACATTTATCATATAATAAAATATTATTTTTTGGAACTTACCATAATGTGAAATAGGCGACTCGGCCCTTGTACTAGTCATTGACAGAACGCAGTGCGACAACCAACCATTATGGTCCAGGACTAGGGAGCCTCCCAGCTGGGTGGGCAACGAATCCCTCGGTATGTGACTGGATAACTGTGCAACGGACACCGTGTATACTCTTTCCCTTAATTTTTCACGGACAAACAGTCGAAGAATTTTAAACGGCGCCTTGAACCATAGGGGCGCGGTAACGATCAACACCTTCTTTAATTTGGCGGGATAACCACCCTGAAACAAAAAAAAACAACTATTTAGTACATCAACCACTAAAAATGACGTAAGAAATGAACGCAAAGATAAAAATTCTTTTTTTTTACGTTATATTTTCTTTTTTGACTAGTGCCCAACATGAGACTATTACGGATTTACTGTCAATATTTTTGATTTGGGGTTTAAACGAATGCATAAATGTATATTAAACACAAGTTATAAAAGCAATTTTAAAAAACGGACCCAAAAATCGTGCAGATGCCACACAAATTGAGTTTGCTGATTTTCTCATAGATTTAATCATTAGGTCCAAATGTATATGGGACCTACCCCGAAGTACTCCTTTTCTAACAAAAAAATAATCCTAAAAATCGGACAACTTGTTAAAGAAATATACATAAAAAATGAAGAGTGATAATTTTCTCATGATCCCATTATCAGATTTGAAACAAATTTATATGGGACCACCGCTGAGGTACCCCTTTTCTAAAAAAAATAATCTTAGAAATCGGATAATAAGATTTATGACTGTGCATACAAAAAAATATTCCGACGAATTGAGACTCTCTTCCTTTTTTTAAAGTCGGTTAAAAATAAGTATCTTATTTTGTAAAAAAAAATTGTTAATATCAAAAACTTATGCATATGAGATGTTGTGAATTTTTTATCACGTGATAGAGGATTAGATTTAAATGTAGATGTAATAAACAAACGCTCTAGACTTTATTGGTCACGTGATAAAATGACAATGACAAGTTAGAAGTTTAAACTTTTTAAATTTAACTTTTGAGACTAGAAAGCAATCTAAATTTGAAAATTAAACAAAAATTAAAAAAACTAATCACTTTTATTTTCACGCTAGCACAAAAAAAGGATAAATTGCCAAATTTGTAAAAAATAAATGACAAGTTTGACAATTCCCATCTCATTTCAAATCGAGATGTAAAAAATGTAATCTGCACAGCTACATCTAGGATAAACAAACGCAGATGCAACTGTAGTAGATGTATCCGATGTCACATACTTTGATTTTCTTTTACTATAGGGACCGTGCGTGAAATATAGAGGCAGCACTACTGCCGAACTTAGCCCTCTCTAGTGTTTAATTTTAGAATTAAATGGGGTAAACATTGCAAGTAAATAATAAAGGGTATTTTTTTAAATATTAAATATAGTTAAAAATAGATACCGGCCCATACCAAACAATCGTGTACATGGTCAAAATGACGTAAAATGTGAAACATTATTAAAATCTGGACATGCATATACATTTTAAGCAAAAACATTTAAATGGCTAAGTGACAATAAATTGTGAAGTTGTACCTTAAAATATCGGTATTTAGTAACACTGAATTTAAAAGTATTACAATAACATTTAAATAATGTAAATTAATAAAAAAGATTGATAATAATAATTATAAATCTTTTTATCTTTATGTTAATCGAAATGTCATTCATCCACTGACGTTTATGAGATGTTCAATGATACATATTATAGATTGCTCACCTATCTATAAAAAAATTATGAAAAACGGGTTGCAATGTGCCTTTCCTAGTGCTCACTAAATAGTGCCGTTCTAGCCCAAATGTGTTTTAAAATAAAATTTCAGCATTTTAATCTTTAGAAAAAGAAAATAATTAAAGTTTTACTTCAAGACATGTCATTATGTATTTGGAAAGTTGAGTTTTCATGTAGTTAAATAATATTAAGAGATCTAAACAATTTTTATAACAGATAGATATAAATAATTTTAGACTACTATTTCAGAAACAATTCTACATAACATACATAATTGCAATATGTAATACAATTTTGAAAAGGTAATGTAAACAATTTTGATATGAGGTATAAACAACTTTGGGAAGAGTTGTAATTGGACACTTATCTATTATTCTGAATAATGTTTAATGGTAATGTCACTAAAAAAATTTACAAAAATCACTGGATTTTTAATATTTTAAAGTTTGTTACAATCTTTTTTGAAAGTAATTGCAATGTATTATTTATGATGTTTATTTTAATAATAAATGAGAAATAGTTAATAAATTGTAAAGAGGGCCGTGATATTTTTGTCAAATTGGACATTCTTATTTCATATTCTACATTAGTTTTAATCAACAGAATAAACCATTATCTGTAAAATGATATTTATATAAAATGTTCATTTAAATATGTAAAAATCTTAATGACAAGAAAACACTAAAGATTCTAATTTCTAAACCGGTTCTGTAAATGATTTCTTTACAACTAAGTGCTCAAAATTGATACAAGCTAGATAAAAAGAAAACTTTGCCCAGTGAAATACGCTTTTCGTCGTCTGATTTACATATGGATAAGCAATCTTTGTAATTATGTATATCATTGGGTGTGAGGCATAATTGTGCTCTGTGGAAATTTATAAAATTTCTTTACTATCGAATGAAATCCAGGTTTCCAAAGTGATGTGTTTGTACATCCACGGATGCAACAAGTTTTTTCGATATTGATATTACGAAAATAATTCGACTTCATTTTATTAATAATTATTAAACAATAAATGCCGTATAAAACATTAATAAATACCCCCCATAAAGTTCACATTTTTGTCACCAGTTAGCGTTAAAGTCATGACGCACGGTCCCTATACGGAGAATGGTCGCACTGCACAGCTTTCTGAGTGCCTTTTAAAAGTAGATAGAAAACTCCGCCATTTTGAACCCTTATTACGTGTTGCCTACATCTTGGCGCAATATTTTTAATAGGTGCGTTTTAATCATCCGCTTCTGCTTCGGAATTGTCAGTTTTCTTGTTTTAATCTGACAGGTTAAAACGACTAAACCGACAATTCCGGAAGCAGAAGCGAATGATTAAAACGCACCTTATATTTTGCTTGCTGCTGTCAGTGTCAGTGAATATTATTTTTGAAGTCACAGTTTATTGCTAAAGAATCAGTTAGCTCACTCGGACCAGTTGAAAGTTCCAAAATAACATCCACTCCAGGGATACAAATTCAGGATAAGCAGAAGACTGCTGTTTTATTATAGGCGGTTGTCATATATTGTAATATCTGAGTTGCACAGTATATAAACTGAAACATTGAGATCTAAAGTGCCGACGCAGAGTGAGCGATCTGATTATTTAGCTGTAAACTGTGTCACAGGGTTCAAAATGGCCGCGCTCTATGTTGGGCGTGTCGGACCTCTCTCTTGCCTCGTATAGTAATCAAAGTATGTGGATGTGGATAAACAAACGCTAGAGATGTAAAAAATGCATCGGATGTGGATATTCAAACGCAACATAATTTGATTTATAAACCAGAATCGGAATCCGGTTTTTCCATACATTAAACTCCTGATAATTTTTCGGAAAGTGTAAAGTCGTAAATATTACTTTATCTCAATCATTAACCGATTAAAAACGAGAAATGAAGAAACCTATTATATTAAAGTGCCAATGTCTGTCTGTCCATGCCGCGATCTCGGGATAGAGAAAGCCAAAACCTTATCGGACTCAGATATAATCTAGAGAAGCAAAATGAGGAAAAAATCATGGTACCTACTTTTGAGGTTCCCGATATATAGAATTCGGTCGAAAATTCAATTGAACGAAATCGCCTAAATGTCAAAGATTACAAATTACCTTAGAATATATATAGTCAGGAAGGAAGAATCCTAAACGACATTGGACTCGCTTAGAATATAAGGCGATTTTAAATCAGTTACTAGAAATGTGACCAAGTCAAGTGTGGTCAAGGTTCTTACGTCATTATAATGACGTTCTAATAATCAGATTTAAAAATGTTTGGTTTATATTGACACTAACTTCACAATGGGTATAACATTGACAGATATCATGAATTTTTGTTTGTGTGTTATGTAATAGTAGTAGGATTTGTTTTTGAATTTGTAGGGATAAAAATAAATATTTGTTTTGTTTACTGATCATGGATGAAGAGAAAATTGGTATTATAGTTACTTTGGCCTCTGATTTTTTATCAAAACTTTAGCCATGTTCATTAATAAATCCTACCTTGAAAATAAATTGGCTTTTCATTTGCAGAAACCTTAAATGCGTCCATATCTAGGTACTTAGCCAGGTTTGCCAGACGTCGCGCTTTAGGCGTAATTGTCCTGCTTTTTAACTTGCTGGCACGCGTTACGCCAAAGTACAAAAATGCTTCGCATTTTACCTTATTGCTACGTTTTTTAAATTCAAAGTTATATGTAATGATATTTTTGACAATGTTTGACCTGTTTTTGAGAAGCTCAGAAAAAGGAATCTAATGGTTTAAATAAATATAAGCGGAGGACCTTTTTTTAGATCTCTACAAAAAACGAGCTTATTTTAAAAAAATACCTGTTTTTTAAACCTGATACCCTATGGCCACCATTGTCCCACTTTTCCCTTTCGTAAATATTTCTTTCTATTTTACAAATAACACAACCAAACAATGATTTAATAATTAAAAAGTAAAAGTTTTACATTTGTCATTTCATTTGACATTTCATACCTGTGATGACCACGTTTTTACTGTAGTCATGTTAAACTTGACTATTTCAAGACAATATTCAATATGACGTCATTGTTTTTGATTTATATCAGTGTAGTCAATCATATTCAAGACATAGTATCTGATTTAAAATCGCCTTATATAGTCAGTGAACTAGACGAATATGGCGACAAGTATTTCCGGTCTACCAGTGACGTACTGTCATAAAGGGGCGTAGCAAAGAAAATAATAAATTCTCATTTGCATATTATCGATATTTACCGATTTCTCTCATTTTAACGTATTACTATTTTCTTGCGAGAAGTTTGCATTTTTTTTTATTAACCTTCATTATGTGAATAAATTTTACTTTAAAATTGCATGTTGGGTGGGATAAATATCGGAAAATATTTTTGGGATAATTTATAGAGGGATTTCATTTGAAAAATCAAAGCAATAATGTATTTAAAAAAAATATTGACTTTTTTACGTCTTTATTATGACAATGTCTTTATTAATCTACATTTTACAAATTATTAATGTTTAAAA